ACCGTACAGCATTCACGGCACTGACTTCTATACTGAGCCACGTCCCTCAGCGTCTCTAATCAACGACAATCCTCATCCCTTGGGCCACAACCTGGAAGGTGGGCTGTACCAACCGAAGCCGGAGCTGAAGCCAGCTTCTTCATACTTCTACGCCATGTCATGGTCTGACCGCTGCGGTGCTTCTTCCAGCCTTACCCGGCACGTGAAAAGAGAGCACGGAAAGGAAGTCGATGGGCAGGCATACGCAATACGTGTCCAAGCCATCGGAGGCGGTGTAGAGCGATTACTTCTGTTGGAGAACGACTACTCACACCCAACGCACGACGATCAATTTCTTCATTGCTCACTCCAAGTTCTTACCAGACGTGAACAATGCTTCGGAGACATTGGTGGCCAAATACAGAAAGTCGGTTAGCATCCCACGCTCGGAGAGACCAGGTCTCGCAACCGTAAACTAGAACACTACGAACCGCGGCGATGAACACCGTCGAGTTAGCCAGATATCATGGCTGCGCCAACAACAGAACAGAACCAAAAGACCGATACAATCCTCGCATCATACCGGATTCGAAAAAACAGTCATGCTGTTCACCAAAATTGAAAACAAGCATCCCACTTTTTTAGTGCATACACAGAAACATAGGAAAGCATCTTTTGCCCCGAAGAATCTCGAACGAATCGCTCGACTGATGATGATAATGATGATGATGGTACCGAGCTCACCTGGGACGATTGGACGGGGCCTGTCGTGTCCATTTTGTCATTCGATTTATCATCGAATTCCATCGCCGTGGGACCGGTGCTGTAACAATCTTCCGGTGGATGCGATCGACCGGTTTTCACCTGACTACTACCGGTTGAACCGTGCGCGGCCCCAGACACGGCTAGTCCGGCCGGTCCGTATCCTCCATGCAGTCGCATGTGCCCGTTCAGTGCCGACTGATTTTTGAACCGTTTCTGACACACCGCACAGGCTACCCGTTTGGGTGCTTCCAACGGATGAGCCATTATCAATGCGACTTTGGCTGCAGCAGCCATATTCTCCGCGGTCAGAGTCATTATTGGTGGCCGTGTCTCGTGTGTTTCGTCCTCATCTCGGTCCAGTGTGTCCCCGGGCCCCGTGGGTGATGTCGCGGTAGAGACTGAACAACCTATGAATGAAAAACAACGGGGAAAAATCGACGACATTATGTCAACTAGACGGCCAACGTCAGAACAAATTGTGGTCAATCAGCCGGCCGGGGGGTGGGAGTGGTGGAAGACTAACATTGACAATCAAACTAATGTCACTGTGACCTCAAATTAGTGCAAATGGGATAGTTGCGACGATACGAGATCATTCTGTTCTTTTTTGTTTACCCCGCACTGCCACTCCACGTAAATGAGGATATCTCATCCGTCATTTTCAGCTCATCAATGGATCCATTTATTGATGCAATAAAGATCTGACGATCAAACGCCAGCACATGTGACCAGTCGTGTCCCTTGGATTATTGTCCGGTTCTTCGGTCTCCACAAAAGTCCACAAAATATCCCATGCGGTTCCAAAAAGTTCAGCTGTTACACGCATCAGCGGCCGAAACACGGCTCTTCGTTGAAAAAGTGGGCTGATGATAACTGAAGCCTATAAACCTTGAACATATGAGCTATGGCATGCAAAGTCAGTAAGAAGTTACTCATACATGGCTGGATAAGTTTGTACCACCGAAATCAAAGGTTATTAATCTGGTCAAACGGGCACGAACACTGGAATCACCGGATTGCATACACATCCGATTAATGATGGTCAAACGGTTACCTGTTTGTTTTATACCTCCAGGTCTGAGGTTCAATTCTCGCCAACACCAAGTCAGAGAGCTTGGGCTACAGGTTGCCATGAGTGAACAGCAAATCCCCACATAGTGTGAAGTGCATGTTACATAAAAAGGTGTGATAAAGAGTGTACGTAGTTTTGAATGAGCTCAGAGAGAGAGGGAGAGTCGAGCGAAAAACACGCGCCAGCACACTTTTATTTTTTCACCTTTGTTTGTTTGGGCAAAATTCAGAGATGCTGAAAAAAATAACCAGTTCATTTTGTACAGCACATGAACCATGCATGCATTTTGATGCGCCGGTTTCGGTTACTATCCTTACAACTGCCTATTTGGATAAAAGAGCAGAAGGAAGATGGGAGCAGAGTCAAAGAAAAGATCGGGAGAATTCACATAGACTAGGGTCGCAAGGATAAGTGAATAGATGAACGAGCACCTCTGTTTCCGACACTCAATGTCTCTGATCCCCACCGCGCAACGATGTGTGTATTTCCCACACACGTGTCTGTCTGTGTTCAGACCACGTGCCAAGCAAATCACGGTACAATAATCTTGATTAAAAGAAAAAAAGATCCATGATTTATTTATTCGAGGGATAATGCCAGATTGTTCAGGCCAAGACGAGATTTTTTTGTGAGTTTACAATCCGAGCTTTTGGTTACCCAAAACGGGACCTACAAGTCAGCAGGGCAGTGTGTCGAAATCGCACTCCAGCGCAGGCTGGTGTCCAATTCAACGGATCATGCGTTCTTTGGACCGGGCCAAACGTCCAAGATGCCCAATTGAGCCGATAATCATAGCAATAACTAGAAACGTGAGTGAGTATGTGTGGTTCGTACGCGTCTTCTTGGTTGGTTTCCAATCAGGGATTTTAGCCAACTCTGCCTTCACGAAGCCTAACGTGGCCTATATGAGCAAGTCCGTCGTGTCAATATTTTCATAATCTCATACCAGGTTTGAGTTTGACCACCCGTTACTTTTTTCCAAGCAGCCAAATGAGGCAAATTTTAATTGATCAGGTTGATCCGGGGACACAAGCGAACAGAACAGCAACCAGTTTTTATAA